TATATATATAGTTATTATGGTATTAACAAGATTCTCTTTAGCTAAATTACGGTCTTGCAAGAGAATATGATCAATGACAATATTGATGCCAAAGAAGAGATCTTGAAGTGTTTATTTTTCTCTTTAGTATGTCGTGCATCGGAAAAGGTTTGATTGTTGTTGTAATGATGCTTAATTATATTCTTTCCTTTAGTGGAAAGGATCGACAATTCCTACTGTTGCTAGAAAGTTTTATAATTATATTTTCGATCTAAGTTGTGAGACAAGAAACATAAGAATGTGAATTTCAATTGAAAAAACATAAAACTGAAACTTAAAAGAATTTGTATATATACGGATCTCGCCAACCATCCAATTCGGCTACAATATTTTTTAGAGAACTTCTATCCAAGGCCTTCACATCAATCGCAAACTTTAAAATCAAAATTATTATTTTTAGTTCTTAGTATGTGTGTTTGGAATCCAATTCAAAACATGGATCATCACTCTCTCTCTACATCCAATAGAAGCAATAAAGAGTAGTTCCTCCATCAATTTGATGTGATTCTTGCTTGGATGTACATTTGGATGTGCATCCAAACATGTCCTATTTCATGATCCTTATATTAACTACTTTTATGTTTATACCATGATTAAGTGATCATTCTCAATGGCACCTGCAATTGTAAATGATACTATATTAATATGGAGTAATTCTAAAAGTTTTTATAAATTTTTAAAATGAATGTTATTTATATATCTTAAAATGAACATTAAGGGAAAGAAATAATAACTTTAGATTTTAGAAGAAAGAAAATTAAAGAAAAATATGTTATAAGGATTAAAACCAAAATTAAGTCATGTTTTAAGGACCAAAAACAACGAATCTAAATTTTAGAGGGATGAAAAATAAATTATTTTTTTTTATAGATAATGTTGACCTCTTATATAAACTATCTAGGAAGGGACTCAAACTCAAAGTTATTAACATCTTATGCAAGATGACCTCCTCGGCTAGATTGGAAATTTCAAAAGTAACCTCCCCAAATCTATTAATAAAGGCCCTTAAGAGATTCATCCTTACCTTACTTGACGCCGATAAGGGTTGTCGAGATCATAATATGAGGTCAACTAGTATCAAACTATGTGGTAAACTAGGAAACAAACACTTGAAAGGAATTAAACGAATAGGGTGATAGGCAAGTGAACCATCGTAGAGTCTCTCCTTTTAGAGAGGTAGAGAATAATTAACACATATGATGACATTCATATTGGTGAGGATGCTAACTTGAGAAACATACAAATTATCTAAGGTCCCGTCACACTTATCAAGCCCCAAATTTTTCCATCCTCTTAGTAGGGGAACCTCCATGATGTCATTGGTGAATGGGTGTTTTTGAAACTCTTTCAGTATAGTAGCAAAATGTGGTGCTGACGTCTCAGCCTGCCAAGAAATGGGCATTGAAGCTTTAGTCTGCCTAGATGTCTATCTAAGCCAAATTCTCTTAGAGCATATGCCATCTGAGTGAATGGCATACCAGAAAGGAAGATGAGATCCCCTGAGGAGTCAAAAGAATTTAGCTTCCATGTACGGCCAGAATCAAGCATTTTTGTATTTGACTACAAATGCTTAATCAATTGTCGTAGTTTAGTATTTTGTTGCTGAAGGAGAGACATTCCTCTTCATGTCGCTTTTGTTGTTGTTCACTATGCATTTTCTATTATTTTAGTTCTCATTGTAATTTGATCAATACTTGAGTGTTGTCAGACATTCCATAATTCTTGCTTGGTGATCCTTTTTTTGCAACCATTGTCTATCAATTTAGTAGAGTCCGTAGGAAAAAAGTTTTCTATGGACCCTAAGATGGGCACCAAATGTATTTGTTAAAAAGTAGATGCAAGAAGTCTTCGATTGAAGGTCCTTGGTCCTCGGCCTCCAAGTATTAGATGTTTTGAACCCATGAAAGGGACTTCAATGCCAAAGTTAACAAGTAATCAAAGTGATTAAGTATACTTTGTATATGTTACGTACCTCATGATGATTTGATGTAAATATATTTATAGGTAAAAGAATGTTACAGTTGAGGATTTGGTCATTAAATGTATTTAAGAGTCTTTCTTGTCCTGTAACGGTCGAGTGTTACTCTTTGTCATGATTACAACAAGGTGCTTGACCAGGCTAAATACTTCTTAGCCTTATAGATTACTATTTGATATCCTTCTAGGTCAATAACGACAACATCTCAATTCATTTTGCATATTTCTCTAAATGGGACTAACAACATTTTATTACCAAGACCTCATTGATACAAATTTTAATAGATAAAAATTATCTATAATAACATATAAATGAGATAATTTTTATTTTATTTTATTTTTTAAGTCAATTACACTATTAGTTGATTATAACAAATAACAAGCAAATAAAATGTAACTACTCATTTGTTTTGGTTATTTTCATTTTGGATTTCAATCCAAGCATAGATTGCCTTAATTTTATATGCTAATTAGCATATAATGCTAAAAGTATATTTAGTCACCATATTCAAAATGCATTACTAAGATTTAGAGATTCTTTTATTATTGCAAACATCCTACCTCATTATAAGATAAAGTATTAATATATTTTTACTTTATCAAATTTAGGATAAATTTGGTTTATTTCTCAAATTTAAAATTATTCTTTTTAGTTCATCTAATTTTAAAAAAATTTGTTTTAGTTTCTCATATAACCAATAGCATATTTTAAAGTAAAAGATTGAGATAATTATGCAATATCAACTACATTTAATGTTATGTTTTTACTAGCATGGACACTACAACATTTGTTATCTATGACAACAATAAAAAATCGTTGTTGAAAGCCAAAAAACCGTTCCTGAAAGTTTAGGGAACGGTTTGGCAACGGTTTTTCAAGCATGGATTTATCAACCGTTGTCTATTTCAATATGCAACGGTTTTTTGGCCTGTGCCCACGACGTCAAAAAAACCGTTACCTAAACTTCCAAGAACGGTTTTCATGATCTTCATTGTCAACTTTTTTTTTATTTAAGGCAACACTATAAATTTTTAAAGAACGATTTTAGAAATGTAGTCTATTTTTATAGACAACACTTTTATGACCGTTGCTAGTGACATAAGAGAACATTTTTTTAAGGTTGTTTATGAGATAATATAGGTAATAATTTAGACTAAATTTAAGCTACAATTTTGTAAATATTGTCTAAATCAACGCCTAATGGTTATTTTTATATTGACTTATAATATTGGTAATAACACACCATTATTTAAGCAATAATCTTCACCATATACTATTTTTAAATGGTTGTAAATGTAATATATATATATATATTAAATTTTACTTTATCCTGTAAAATCATATATATGTAATACGTACCTATAATTATAATACAAATAGTATATTAAACAGTTCATATTAATAAGAAGTACTATACATTATTTTGGATTGATAATCCTCTTGTACATCTTCTTCTTCAAGAAGACGTTTCTCATGTGATCAATAAAGAATTGATTTCACCATCAAAAAATAATAAAACAAATTATAAAATGAAATCCAAACACATGTAAAATTTACTTGCATTAATTAGTTCCAAGTATATGACAATTCAAAAGCATAAAACTCCAAATAAAATCATCCAAAGATGCCAAAGTTTACATAAAATTTCTAAATTTCAATATAAAGTGTCATCTAGGAATATTATGCATAGCTAGTCATCCATCCATGTAAGTAACATCATTCAGTCTCTTCATCATCATAAGGCTGATCTTCATTATCAAGTCTTTCCTGCACATAAATATATTTTTTCACTTAGAAAACTTATAGAATTAATCCCCAATCAATCTCCAACAATTAACATAACTCCTTTGCTTTGTTTATTCTTACCCAATACCTTTTCACGCTTGATTTGAAATCTCCTAAGTAATTCAACACTTGATTTCACTTCACCTTCAAAATTGAAGATATCTTTTTCACGTTTGTCTGTAGTACTCATCTTTTACTTTAAAATTCCTTCCTTCTGGGTTTTGTACCTACAAAATAAAAAATATAATTATTGGATAGTACTCATGCTTGTTGTAATAGATTACACATTCACTCTTAGACACTGAACAATAACTTCTGCATAACATGAGTTATAGAGCTTCACATAGCATGTGATTAGATTCATTAGAAAGATAAGACACTAACCTACTTATGATTAAAATTTTATAATTTGAGTTTGACATGTAGTACCAGTTTTTATTTTAAAACAGTTTAGTCCTTGTTGTAACAGATTACACATCCTCTCTTAGACACCAAATAGTAACTACTGCATAACTTGAGCTCTACACCTCTAAATAGCATATGGTTAATTTTGTTAGAAAGCTAAGACACTAAGCT